TCTTTTGATCGATCACCAGCATTATGGATACAAACGTGCATGTGCGACTTGTACAACGGTGACCGATGGCGATTTGACTGTAGAACATACTCTCATTGTATACATGCACATAACCATTATTTATTATGCACATATTGTGATGTATCAGTGCTTGGTATCCATCCATAAGAAGGGCCCAGATAGCCTTTTAAGGGGCAGTGAGCATACATAGTACTAGCGATGCATATCAGACGAGGGTTGAAGAAGAACCTGATATTAGTGTATCGTGCATCTGGATGTCCCACAGTAAGACCATTGATTTTGGGACTTTGTAGTGTTTCTCCGGATGATCCTGCCAATCACAGTAATACTCACGCGATGTTGTATATGCGGTTTCTTCGCCATGTGCATATTCTTCATACAGATACGTATGTAGTCGTTAAATATGTATATAGTTTTGATATGATAATCATCAGCTGATTATCAGTTACTGGCACACATACACACGCACACACACGCACGCACACACACACGCACACGCACGCACAGATGTTAAATATGAATATTTCTCTGTGTAGTTTCTTCCGCGCCTGCCAATGTTCTCACTGCTGCTGCCCTGCGGCATTTCTTTCATTTTCATTCATTTCATTTTTCCCAGCAAATCGTCGTCTATGTTCATCAAATGTGTGATATTATTATCTGCTGTGACGATGACCTGCCAATTCTGGATTTTTTAAATGCACCTAGAAAATGTTCACAGGACAAAAAAAGTCGTTTCTGTAAATGTTTGGCGAATGTTTTTACTCGAACTAAAAATAACATCGTTTTCTTCTTTCTGTGCATTTACTTTGGTACTTAGTAATATATGCGCAGTTGGATCCACAATATTTCAAGTGGTCGTCAGTGTCTACTGCCATCGACTTCTAATCAGCCCTTGAAAGAGAGCGTCGACAGCCTTGCCAACGTACAGTTACCGTTGGCAGATACTACCACTGAGACTACTTCCAAGTACTTCCGCCTCTTACTAAAAGCTAATATAGAGGGACTTTTGCAGCTATACCAAGAGCATTCGCAGTGCACAGAGTGTTTTTATGTGTCAAAGGACACCAAAAAATCAGGTTACAATTAACATGCATCAGAATTCTTGTAATCGCAGTTGGTCCAGGCAAACACCCAGCATTACTCGTGTTAATGCTCGAGTAACGCACATTTCCCATCATTGCGTGCCCACTTGTACAAGCTATTCGTATTCTGTGAACATTTTCAGTGCGGCTTATTTCAGTGTTGTTGCAGAACATGTCTGTTTCTGAACATGTTAATAAGCACATGTATTCATAATTTTTCACCAAATGCAATTTGTTGGATTGCAAGTTTTACCAAAAGATTTAGCAAATACAGGCTAAAATCTGTTAGGTCTCTCCTACGCATTCTCGCCTCATACTCCCCCTGGGCTTCCTAGACCATCATCTCATCGCAGAATCCTGATGTCACAGACTTAACTGGCGTTCGTCCCGTGGTTGACTTGGTCGTGATGGTCAGTCTGTTGGCGATTTTACATTGTGAGTGGAGAGTCATGTTAAGTAGGTTATGACAATTTTTTCAAAGAAAAAATGACTTTTATTATACGGGCGATTGTTATTTAAACAGTTGATGTAGCGGCAGCAGCACCATCATGTTGCTTGCACAGGCTGACATTGCGCGGCCAGTCGCAGACGGATTTCTCGGGATTCCAGAACAGAGCAGCAGGACATTTCTTGGAGACCCATTTCCCTTGAGCGCACTGATAGAACTTCTTACAATCAAGCGGATCGGCACGATAGCCAGAAGGTCCGCCGCTTTCCTGCAGTAATTTGGATTGGAATTTTCAGTAGTCATAAGATTAGGTACTAGACGCATTTACTGCATTTACTGCACTTTTGTTGAATCGGGACTGCTCTGATTTTTAAAACATGCGGAGGTTGCTGAGATGCTAATCCGCGTTAAAATACCGGGTTACTTTCCGTCATTTACACGCACATTTTGTCACATATTTCAGCGACTGGACAAGTACTTTTCTTATACGTCCCTACATGGTGTGCAGCAGTGCCTCGACGCCTTTTGATTAGACACAGCTCCTTGTATGTTATGCATCTGGCGTAGTCTCATGTTTCATTGAGTCATGGTCGAATGCCTCGACAAAAAAATGGCTGTCAGATGTTGTTGGGACCGGAGAAAAAAGTGAAATCTGATGACTGAGGTATTTTGCTCGTTATGCGTTTTTGCCTATATGCAAATTGCAAAAACGCATATTGGGACGACCCTGTCTGTGT